TTGGAGGAGGGGCTGCCTCAATGCAACATATGAGTCAGATTCCTCAGTTCCGTCCCCACTTCACCACTGACTCAACGTACATATTTACTTCATTCCTTGAATACACTTAAATGCCATCAATTTTTGCATAACTTCCACGATGAACTCCCCTCACGTCTGCATCGAAAGCTTTGGGGAAATCTTGCAAGTAACAAATACGCTACATCCCATATCTACGTAAATATTTATCTATTAAAAGGTTGTCCTAGTTCTTAACTCATTAAGCACTACACCATGAAGGTGTATGGGGGAGTGGATGTACAGACCCACGTTTTCTTGACCTCAGCACTAGTTGGAGGTGAGTGATCAGCTTCACACCACGGCCCCTTTACCCACGGGGAAGGAGAACCCCGTATCCATTGGATAGGATGCTGCGTGGGCCTTGACGGGTCTTGACGACTTGGAGAAGAGAAAATTCTTGAATGTACCGGGACTCCAATTCCAACCCTTCAGCCGTCCAGCCCGTAGCCAGCCGCTACCGTCTGCGCTATCCCCGGCTCAAATACGTATGTGTTGTTGCCCAACCTATAGAAAGCATTTCTGTGTTCACCTTTTCCTTTCTAAATATCGTCTGAAATTCGAAATAATCCCTCTCGTTCCGATCTACATGTTCATTGTTCCTGACAGAGCCCCTGTGTACATCTTTGGCAAGGTTGAGAATAATGAAGCACCTGTATAGTTAGATGGAATTTTCACTTCTCTTTTGTCTTTGTATATCCTATGCAATAAACTCTTCCTCCATACAAAACAAAAAAGCAAACAAGTTCCGTGGTTTTAGTCCGCAAGCGAACTGTATCGACCGAGCGGCCGCCGCTTGTCTGCGAAGTTAGTGTCAACTTTAGCGGATAGAGGGTGTCGTGTGGCCAGCGCAACGGATCCCCACGGCCGTTAATCTCGGTTTTCTAAACCGGAGTCGCTATTTCCTTGAAACAGATCCTCAATTATCCTCACGAGCCTGAGTAGAACCCGTTCCAGGCCCACTACATCTCAGAAAATCTGGTAGCGCCGGGAATCGAACCCGGGACATCTGGATCTGTAGCCAGGAACTCTGACCACTAGACCATGCTACTGGAAATTTCCCTGTCACGTGAAAATTGTACATTACGTTATTTATTATTTTACGTAAACTTTCCTCCGGCCGGTCACAGTAGCCGAGCGGTGTAAGGCATGCACTGTCTTCGCTCGCTCGGAAGCCGGGATCGTGGGTTCGAATCTCACTCAGGGCATGGATGTTTGTGTGCGCTTTTCTGTGTTCGTGTACAGGTAGAGGCGACGAGCTGATCACCCGCCCAAGGAGTCTTACCCAATGTCTAAGATCTAGTAAACCGAAGTGAAACGGAGAGTTTTATGGAGGTAGGCCTAGGCCCAAATGAGGGCTGTAGCGCCAATGAAAAAAAAGAGAAATATCTTTCCTCCTTGAAATAGCTCTTTACAATATCCCATTATTTGACAATCGATTCCTGCTCTCACACAAATTTTTATTTTTTAAAAATGTTTAATTTTTCTTCCGTCTCAATTGCCCTGCTACCCATCCCCAGCCCAAATTTTTCATATCCTTCGCAAATTCTGACTTCAATATTTCCTTATTTAAAAGGCTCCGAAAATAATTCCTTAGTCTCTACACCTAAATTGCGTCCATATTTCTTTTTTGGGTCAAAAACCTTATTTGTGCAGCTTTATTTTCAAAATATTTTTACTGTTTCTTAGCTTTTCTTTTAGAATATATCCTCTCCTCCTTTTGTAACTTGTGCCCCTTCTACACACCCCTACGTGCATGTCTATTCTGTTTCGTGTTGCCCAATTTCCGTTTTATTTTAGCGCTTCCTCCCACTTCTACCTTCATCAGAACATGAGCCTTTTCTGTCTGTCCTCTTGTTAGCCCTCGTTTTCATCTGCCGTCCTACACTCTCCAGCATTCCATTCATACATTTTTATTCTAGCAATTTCTCCAATTTGCAGAAAGTAAGTTTCATTCCCATTGTACTCGTAGGTAGTTCTGTTATTTCCCTATCTCTCATTTCGTTAAAATTTCTGCCACCTATTCTTATGTCATTTAAACACATTAACACATTTTCTCTCATGTATATTCCCTGCCCCCCACCTGAATAAACTCAGCCTCACCTTTACTTCAAACATCGCGGTCGCCATGTCGTGATCATGCGTGACCGTAACTGTGACACTGAACCTCTTCAAATAATTACCAGAAATGTACAAACAGTACATAGTCTGCGAGTAATGCGCTGGACACTGCTTNTTCAGCCTCACCTTTACTTCAAACATCGCGGTCGCCATGCGTGACCGTAACTGTGACACTGAACCTCTTCAAATAATTACCAGAAATGTACAAACAGTACATAGTCTGCGAGTAATGCGCTGGACACTGCTTTTCATATAAGTATCTCTCCTGCAATTTAAAGTTTATACTTGTAGCAGTTGGTTGAGGCACTATGCTACAAGCAGGAAAGTCGCGGTTTCGATTCCCGAATAGGTCATTGGATTTTTCAATTAACCTTCCAGCCTCACTATGGCCCTGGGGTCTACACAGAAATGAGTACCAGGAATCTTCGTGAGATTAAAGGGCGGTCGGCGCGTAGGGCTGACAACCTCACCGCCATCTGTGAGCCAACTGTCTAGAAGATGTGGGAGCCTCGACCCCTTACACTCCTATGAGCCTCCACGTCCTGTTGCAGGGATAAATTTACCTTTTCTTTTTTAATACCTCACATGTGTTTGTGTTAGGTAGCGGCCTTGCGTCGGGCTGATCTCCAGTCCAAGGAGACCTACCGACTGTCTGAGATTAAGAAACTGAGGTAAAATGAAATGTTTCACGGATGCCCTACGCTCCAATTGGGGGCAATAGGAATAGAAGAAAAGAAGGTCACATAAATTAATCTTTTGCCTTCCTTATTTATTATCTTACCCTACCTCTTCCTGTGGGATTTGGGAAACATAATGAAGTCATAATATCTCCCTTTTCTCAGCCGGGACATTTCTGGGTAAAGCTTCCAGTTCTTAAATCAATATCCATCCCTACGATATAAACTCTGCTCCGCCTATTGCGTTTTTAATCTCCGTAGCGTCGTTTTCCAGATCCGTATAAAAGTGAGGTTATCGGTAATTGGACATTTTCGGCGATGAGTATCTTTCCCCTTCCTGCGTCAGCATTCAGTGATATCAATGTGACTCTATCATTTCATTCCTTAACTTTGCTCTATATCAGGGCCGCGCCATAGCTCAAGCGGTTAGTCGCTGGCTTCCCACTGCGGCGGCCCCGGTTCGATCCCGGCTCTGGTCAAGTGGGATTTGTGGTGAACAAAGTAGCGCTGGGGCAGGTTTTCTCCGAGTACTTCGGTTACCCCTTCCAAACTTCATTCCACTAATTGCTCCACAATCACCCTCACCTATCATCTGGTGCTGGTACAATAGGCCAGAAGTGGCCGCAGTACAAGGGACTTAGTCCCACCCCACTAGCAATAATAATAATAATTGCTCTATTTCGCAACCTTCCTCCCGAACAGTATGACTGTTCCTTCCCAATATCTGCCTTTATTTCCCTTTTCTTTCTTAATTTTTTCATGCGACGGAAGTCAGCTACTTAAATCATTTCTATCTCTTCCATCCACTTGTCTATTGCACCTACCAGTGCATCAGTGTTTTATATAATTTCCTGAATTTATGCACTCCTATTTTTTTTCCTTCTATCCTTGTGCGCAAGATATTCTGTATGCATTTCTTATGCCTCACATCAGGGTTTCATGTCCTGCCCATCCCCTAATTTTATTTGATAACCCAAAAACTGCCTACTGACAGCTATATTACGCAGCTCCTCATTATACAATTTGCTTCAGCCTCTCGGTCATGGTTTTCTTAGAATACAATGCTTAATAATTCATTTTCGGCGAAAACGTAACTTGTAAATTATACAGTAATGGAAAATCTTAAAGAAATATAATCATGGTTCTACGACAACATACGCTTCTCATGTAAAGCGAAACAATTAGACACGAAATGTCAGGTGATTCACGCAGCCTTGTGCTCTATTAAGGTGAAGGCCAATGATATTTCATGGCCTTTTTACGGTAGTTTGTGCGCATTATCTTTTGTCACACAAGCATGAATTTTAGTAGATAAGAAACCAGTTCAAGGATTAAAATTCATGCATGAATTTACAAGATGTAATTATGAACTTTTAAAATTATGACTTATCATCCTTCACAAAAATTCCTTCTTAGGAATTTTAACGGAAGCTAATGCGATAATAATTTTGTGAGTTGGTATGGTATTTTTATTATATTATCATAATAAGCCGATAAGATGCTCAAGAATTTTTGCGACATTATGTATGCGTTGCAGGGAAATGGTGCGAGCCTAGATACACGCTACCTAATTTATCCGTTATCAAGATCGCACTGACGGGCAACCCAAGAGGAGAAAGTTTTCCGGAGTTACGAAACATTTATTTCGAAATACTTTGTGAGCCACAGTTGCTTGCTGGCTTATTACATTAAACAGAATTATAAAAAATGGGGGGAGAGGGGGTTTACTAGGAACGTTTAAGTAATTGCGATTTTGAGTTTCATAAAAATTATGCGATATTTCTGTTTAATTAAATTCTGTTTTGGACTTAAGCATCTAATAGCTAAAGAAATGTAATCAAAGGCAGGATTTCAGGATTACGATAATGTCCTTTTACCATTCGGAACTGATAACATCCGTTTTAATTTCTTAAAAATTTTAAATATTTGCAATGCCAAATACGTATTTTCGAAATCCACATACAAACATTTAATTGTTACTTAGAGCATGGCGCTTGTAAATAGACTGTTTATAATTAATTACATTCAGAAAAGAGAAGATTTTTATAACTGCAATTTTCAATTTTTAAGCTCCTTGTTATGTCCGTATGGTCATAACGGTAGATTTGTAGAATTATGGAAGTACAAAATTTAATATAGGAATACCTGGAAGATATTGAAGTGTTGTAACTTTGGAACGTCAGTTAGTGTAGTCAACACAACATTGCCCACCAAGTCCAATATTGCTGAGTGTGTATGTGTAGTCTGCAACTGCAACTAGGATAGCACAGAGCGCTGACTCAGCGGTGACCATGCGGTAAACACCTTGGGGTCGGTAGACACGGAAGCCATATTGATAACAGATTTGAGAGCAGTTGACAAGGTGGTGTCGCGTAGGCGAGGTGATCTCATTGGGGCATCACCATAAGACGTCGTATAATTAATTATCTTCTTATACAAAGTTCCAATTAATTCGTAGGATAAGGACTCTGTCTGGACTAGAGTCGAAGGAGTTCGAAGGATGAAGAAGATTAAGTGTAGAAAATAGTTTAATTAGACATTCCAGAAATAGAGTAAGTAAATCTTCAAGTATAATGGCTGTACACTCGATCAGATGTTGTTGGTCTCTCCTCTGTCCACACTAACTACTTACTTCTTATATCATACTTACATTTTACAATTAAGTTCAATGTATCATTTCTTAACATATACAAGGATGTAGTGAGCAGTTCCATATATGGTCATATCATATGATGCCGATCGAGATACTTCTCAACCCTTCTGTCTAGTCATAACGTGTGTGTTTGTGACGGTCTTATCAGAGGTCGAGGTCAACATATAACTAACTTTTTACGGTCTACAGCGGTTAGGAAATATTCAGATTACGAAAGTTGTCATGTACGTACATGTTGATTGCAATAATCTAATTATCCCTTATAACTACTACCTATTTGTTACCTATACCATACTACATCACACTACATTATAGGGGTTTGTGTCCCCACGTCGCCAGAAGACCAGCCCAGCCGAGAACCATGGACCTTCGAGAATTTCTATTTTGCATCATCGTCTTCATGACCGTACCAAATAATTGGTACCGTGGAATATTGAGACACGCGTAACGTAGTTGGCTGAGGTACTATGCTACTAGCCGGAAGGTCGCAGGTTCGAGTCCCAATGAACTGGATTTTCTAAATTTACCTAATCCTTCCAGCTCCACTATGGCCCTGGGTTCGACTCAGTCTGTAACAGAAATGAGTACCAGAAAT